AAAAAAAAAAAAAAAAAAAAAAGAAAAAAGAAAAAAAAGGTTGGGGGTGTGGGGAGGGGAAATACAGGGTAAAAACAGTCAAATCACAATAGGAAATTTTCAAAATAGGTTATTCAGTTTAGTCGTCTTCATCCCCTTCATCTTCAGGCTCTCGTTTTCTTTTCTGTCCCCGTTCTTCATCTACAAAATAAAACACAACTTGAATTATATGAGTGTTCCCTCACACTGCTGAGAAGCTGAACAAGTTCAACAAGCTTCTACTTTGGCAACTGGCTTGCTATCAAAGGAGCAGGAATACAAACATGAGCCTGCTTTTTAGAAAATAGCATTTTACTTTTTTTTGGAAAAAAATTTTGTTTTATCTTGAGGAAAAAGTGGATTGCTGCCATACCGGGCTCTTCTTCATCTTCATCGTCATCTACTTCACCATCGTTGTAGCCTTCTTCATCCTCCTGGATTTAAAGAGGGGAATAATAAAAAAAAAAAAGGATTAAAAGAGTCAGTTTCAGTGCAAGAACTTTCACAATTTGGCAATATCCAACAGCATTTTACAACAAAGTCCTTGAAGCATCTTAAACAAAAACCAAACAAAAAGGCAGACACTTCCCACACGCTTACATAAGCCCAGTTTTTTGCTACAGTATAACTGGACTCTGGCCCAAGCTTCACTGCAGAAAATCACAAGTGATCATAGCAGCCACTTCTGGCTTCAAGTCTCCAGCAAGAAAATGGTTTTATACTTCATACCAATACACAGATGCAAATTTTGTTGGGATGTCCTGAGCTTAGTGAGGCTCAATGACTGGTCAAGCAGGAGAAGGGCCATGTTCTAGGGGTGGAGAGAGTCAAAACACGAGCAGACACCTCCAGAGCCAGAGGAGAAGAGGCTGACCCCCCCTTCAGGCAAATTTTAGCCCCATCCCAGCAGGAGAGCTAACAGCAAAGTCGCAGCAGACTGTGACTGGCTCAGCACACAGGGGTTGGACTACACTAAGAATTAAAGCATCCTGAGGAATCGCAAGGTACCTGCCCAAGGAGGAACCTCACTCTGAGAGCACAGAGTCAGTCGTTCGCATACCACTCTGTCAGCTGTAACCCCCAGCCCTCCAAAGGCCCCACAAACCTGGTCTAAAGACGTTCCTCGCAGTGTTTTTGACATCAGCCCAATAAAAAGAAGGATTTCGTGTCAATGGTCACTAGATGGCAGCTGGTTCATAGACAGGCACGCCTCAAAGCCACCCCCTGCTGCGATGCTTCTCAAGTAAAAAAGCAAGCGCATGTTTCAAGTCCTAAAAACCTCCAATATTTGGTCCATTTCTTGCCCAACTATTCCCTGTTAGAGCATGTTCACTCCATACCCATTATTAACTGAAGAAATCCTTACCTCCTCTTCTCCACTCACATCCTCCTCTTCTCCTTCCTCCTCTTCCTCCTCGTCTTCTTCATCTTCTACTACCTGAGCATCATCATCATACTCCTCTTCTATACAGTCAAACAAGATTAACCACTCAGACATTTAAAGTTTACTTTTTTTTTCCTACCTGAGATGTGACCTCCTACCAACACAAGAGGCAAACTGAAAGCACTACTTTAAAATTCAAAAAATTTAAAAATTAAAGCAGCTTTAGACGTAGTCCTGGGCCTCTTTAGCCTAGTGAGGGGGTAGTGGGGCAGCTGCACCCACGCTCTGAGCTGCTGCATGGTTGCAGAGGCCTTGATGGCAAGTCCCAGCAGCCTCAGGACTGCTTTAGCTTCAGCTGCTCCAGTTCCCACTACTAATCTGCATTTTTGAGCCCATGGGACACTTGCAGCTCTTCATCTGCAAACCCATCTGCTCCCACCAGGGCTAGAGCAGAACTTGACAAACCAACTGAGCGCTGGGTCCCTCCCCAGGGGACACCCCTCGCCTCTGTGCTGCCAGAGGGATACCACAGGCTTACGCAAAATCCATCTTAGGGGTTTGCAACCTCCTTTCAAGAGGAAAGAGATGAAAACATGACTAAGCGCAAGCAACAAACAAGAAATTGTTTTTCCATGCTGCAGGTAATGGCGTTTTGGAGCTTTTTTCATGCATTTGAACACAGGCCCTGCCCTGGGATCTGGTGAGGAGAACTTGCATGGTGCTGGCTGAACACACAGCTCTGCCAGGCACTGCTGCAGCCCTCACCCCTCTCACCAGAGCTCACATTCAGCACTCGGGGGAAAAGTGCAAGTCCAGCTATTCTGCTTTTGCTGTGCAGCTGGGTTTGAAGAGTCTAGCAAATTCCCCACACTCAGCTGGATACTCATCCGACCGGTACACTGCTGCCTCCGAGGACAGTCTGCCGGGGAGGCATAACGGCACCCACAGCACAGAAGGACCCACCATGCACCTCCCCAACATTAAAAACCTGCTCACTGCTTCATTAGCACCTTTCACAGAGCTTGCCCCAGGCAGGCTTCAATAAATACACTCTCCCCTCTTCTGCCTGATCTCAACTACTTCCGTTTTTTCCTCACAGCCACAAACTCCTATTAATGCACTGGCTACTTCCGTGAATTGGCTACTTTTTTTGATGCCCAGTCTGGTTCTCCATCCTGCCCTTCTCCATCAGGCCCTGCACAACTGCTTGTCCTTCCTGGAAGAGCACAGCCTGCGCATGCCATCTTTTCTTACCCACTCCTGCCCTTGTCCCTGAGGTGTACTGTTCCCAGAACTATTTCAGCACCTTACCCCTATTTTGGCCCCTTTCTTCTACCACCCTTTCACTCCCCAGCTTTCACTAGAGAGAAGACTGATCAAGCAGCTCTTCCAGGCCCTGTCCATCTCCTCTCCCCTCGTTCCTTCAGAGGGCACTGAGATACTTCTGCTTTACACCAGTTAGAGCTGCTGAGGACACCACTTCTCCTGCCAGCAAGTCAGAGCTGGAAGCAAAACGTACCACACAGTACATCAATCTTTCAACTTACGTACACCAAGTAGCACAAATTCACATACCATCTTCATCCTCCTCCTCGTCGTCTAAGCCCTCCACGTAGCCCTCTGCATCAGAGTCCGGTGCTTCTTTGTCATCCCGATCTTTCACTAGAGATAAGACTGAGAAAGTAGCTCTTTCAGGCCCTGCCCATCTCCTTTCCCCTCGTTCCTTCAGAGGACACTGAGGTACTTCTCCTTTACATCAGTCAGGAAGGAGCTGCTGAGAACACCCTTCTCTTGCCAACAAGTCAGAGCTGGAAGCAAAATGTACTAGGCAGCATATCGATCTTTTAACTTACGTACACTAAGTAGCACAATTCACATACCATCTTCATCTTCCTCCTCGTCGTCTAAGCCCTCCACGTAGCCCTCTGCATCAGAGTCCGGTGCTTCTTTGTCATCCCGATCGTAGCCATCGAGGTATGTGAGTTGCGGGAGGAGCTTGAATACATTTTCTCTATAATCGTTCAAGTTGGTTACCTCGCAATTGAAAAGATCTAGACTCTTCAGGTTTTCTAACTTTTTCTGCAAGGAAAGAAAAGGCTCTGAAGTTCAGCGTTACAAACATTCTCTACAGAGCAAAGGATGCAGTGGCAGCCAGAGTTAATGTGCTCAAGAGCTTCCCATGACAAAAGGGTCATTTTGGTCTCTGCCTGCTAAATTGGTGTGGAACAACAATATGCAACGCCTGGTTGGGGCTGCTTGGGTATGTGAGAGGGGAAAATGCTCTCTCTCAAGTTCAGAGTCTCACAAGTAGAAGACTGAAGTTTGGAAAGAGGCAGAAAAACCATACATGCTGCGAGGGGCCAAGCTAAGTATAAGTAATAATCCAGTCAGTTATCCCAAAACGCAAGATATTGGAACCAGCAGTCAGGTATATTTAAACCACTGCTTTCAATGGAAGAAGAAACATGACTATTCTCTGGACACAAGAATTTTGCTAAAAGAGATGTAAAAAATTTTAATGATTGTACCTTAGCCTTTGGAAAAACGAAAAGAGGCTTAGAAATTGAACAGGATTTTTTTTTTTTTTGAGGAGTAGGAGGTGATCTGAACTGCCCACAGCACTTTGAAGAACTAACAATAAAAGCGCAAGCAGCTGAGTATCCATATCAAGTCTTATGAAATATCTCCCTTCTGGAGTTTGGTGCATAGAGCAACGGTGACATCAAGAAAACAATAAGCCTGAAACTGGGAGTAGTTACAACCCTCTCTCTCTCTTCTGTTTGCTACATGAATTTAACAGCTCTGCTCTCCCCTTCTGCTGGGGGAAAGGAGATCCAAGATGAGAACTGCTCCTTGAGACATTTTAAGAGCAAGTATTTAGGAAATAAACCAGAGCCAAAACTCCTCATTTCTGGAGAGCGAAGGGCACATGAAGCAAAAATTAGAAAACAGCACGGCCAGAACTGACACTTGGATGCCTTTTGGAACTTGATCTCAGCCTTGAAATAAAAAAGTATAATGACCAGGAGAGGTGATGGAAAGCAGCAGGAATAAGCTGGAAGCTCAGCGACCTCTGTCCAGCTGCAGCAAGCGAGCCCAGCATGGCGGCACACGGTGCCACAGCCCCGGGCAGAAGCGGTGGTTGGTGACTTTAGACCTGAGGCTCCAGAGGAAAGACTCGGAGCTGAAGCCGAGTGTCTGGCAGAGAGAGCCCCAAGCCCCCACCTCCGAGGAAAGCTGCGGGGCTCCCGGGAGCAGCAGCCGCTAGAGGGAAGCAGCCGCCCATGCTGCGGGCACAGCCCCGGGGCAGGGCTCCCCGACAGCCCCGGGCCACGGGAACCCGCCCCCAGCCTGGCCGCGAGAGATCAGCACCCACCACACTCCACCGCAAGCTGCTTCAGGCCTGCCAAGGCCAAAATGCCTCTACTCATCTCAAAATGGGGTTTGATTTCAGCCCGTACTGCACCAACTTACCAGAGGTTCTATTGTACCGAGATCTTTTATTTTGTTGCCGCTTAGATTTAGATGCGTGAGGTTCGGACACTTTTCTGCCAACACTTCCAGTCCGCCTGAGATTCTGTTGTCACTTAGCTCGAGCTGGAAGGCACATAAACATCTTGAGGTTTTAGTGCAAATGTGTATCACAAAGTAGTTTGGTCAGCTAAACTACGTTTTTACACAACTACTTCACACATGTGGTATAGCGCAAAGAGGGAGGCACATGGCATAGGACATTTTATTTACCTTCTTAAGTTTGTTTAACTTTGGTAAGTTTGCAACTGAGGTTAAGCCTACGTTGATTGTACTTAAGAATTCCAGCTCTTCAAACTCATCTGTGAGGCCTTCGATTTTGCCTTCGTATGACCTACAGTTGTCAAGAACGAGTTCTTTAACCTGGAAAGAGATGCAAAATGTGCGTAAAATGTTCTGCGTGGAGGATAAAGATTTCACTCACAAGCAAAGGATGACACTGATCAGGCAAAAATTAAAGATATTCCCGTAAACTGCCAAGTATGCAAAGGGTTATTTTCAGTGTCTGATCCCTGGTTTTGCTAGTATGGTTAGCAGTGGTTCTGAAACAGATATTTGTCTTTGCTTCAACTGCCTTTGTGTTGTTTTATAAACAACATAAACAGTTCAAAAACATTAATCCTGGCTTAACCAATTTGGTTGTTAGAAGTAGCATCGTCTTTGGCAAATGCAAGCGATAAGCATTTTAAAAACTATGAAACCAATCTATTTATTTTTAAACTAACCTACCACTTCGACACCCCATACAACTTGTGTGCTATTACAACACATCATCAGTTGTTAAAATAGCCTCTCTCCTAACACAAAAATTATCTGAGCTTTTCAAGTGTGGAGAGGTCACTGCCTGCTCTGACACTCCTGAAACCTGAAGTAGGTCCTGGTGATCCTAAACCAGGTCCTGCTGGAGCCTCACCCCTCCACACCAGGGTAGCTTGATGATGGTATTTTAGGGGAAGAACTCCATGGAGGCTACTCCTTTCTTCGGGACTTACAAGGGCTGTGCCAGATGATGCTGGCAGGGGGGGTTCCATGAGCAAAGCTGCTGCACACCCTTATCTCCCTCACCCCATTGCAGCAGGGAGGCTGGCAGAGAGAGGTGAAGATAACATCCCCACGGGCCTGAGCCCCACAGGACCTGCCCCACAGCCAAAGTTACAACCTGCAGGGTTTTGTTGTTGTTTTTAAACAAGGCACCACTTTTTCAGGTGCTATCTTCACCGGACACAAAACAACAGCATCAATGCGAAAGAGACACTAAATACACCCCACTCTGAGTAAAACTGCTCCTTTTCACCCTAAAGCCAGGTCAGCACTATGGGATTCAAGTCCCTTAGTAACCAACGTGGCTCTGGGGAAGCTCTGTCAGCGAGGACTGTCACTCCACAGGAAGGGCCCACCCATTCAGGGAACATCCAGACATTTTCACACTGACAGAAAATTTCTTGGGGTTATTTCTTACTTCTACAACAACCGAAGAAAACCCATCCTTCTGTGGGCACTGCAGACCCCATCCCCTGCTCGAGGTTTGTTTACAAGTTTGGAGAGGGAGGGTGTGCTGCTTTACGCTGAGGACGGGATAAAGAGAAGTCTGCAAGATGGGTGTACACAGAAGAAACAAAGCAACTTCTCAGTTCATACCAAGGACAGTTAATATGCAAATATTTAATTTTCTTAATTTCTTTTTATTACTGTAATCCCGCAGCACAGAGAAGAATCCTATATAGTTTTATAGCTCCAAATAACATCCCTAGATTTCTAATTAAATCCCAAGCACTGAAGTCAATAGGGAAGTCAGCCCAAAGCAACACGAGAGTACAAGTGATTCATTGAGAGTAGGAGGATCAGTGTTAGACAGGAAATACATTTTCCAAGACTCTACAATTTTCCTAGAGGAATTATGATAGGGAATGACTACACAAAAGTCTTCCAGAAGAATTTTAGGCTGGTTAGAAGAAACTAAAGATCAAGTCAAGTGCTCCTGATCCCACATACATCTATTCCACTGGGAGGGAGGGGGGAAAACCCCAAACCCCCAAAAAACAAATGACAAAAAAATCCCTTTGCTTTGAAATTCAGACAGCTAGAAAGCCATTTTGAAGGCAAACATGCGTATCTTCTTACTGTAACAGTATTTAAGTATCACAATCCTCCAGTGACATCAATTTGGGGACAGTCATGGCCTTCACACACAGAGCTGC